AGAACTGGCGACTTTCTAGTACAACTTTAGTACGCGGAGCAATCTGTAGAGCTGGAAGCTGAGAACTGGCGACTTTGTAGTACAACTTCAGTACGCGGAGCAATCTGTGCAGCTAGAAGCTGAGAACTGGCGACTTCGTAGTACAACTTTAGTACGCGGAGTATCTGGCGAGCTGGACGAGGAGAACTGGCGACTTTGTAGTACAACTTTACTACGCGGAGAATCTGTGGAGCTGGATGGTGAGAACTGGCGACTTTCTAGTACAACTTTAGTACGCGGAGCAATCTGTAGAGCTGGAAGCTGAGAACTGGCGACTTTGTAGTACAACTTTAGTACGCGGAGTATCTGTGGAGCTGGATGGTGAGAACTGGCGACTTTCTAGTACAACTTCAGTACGCGGAGCAATCTGTAGAGCTGGAAGCTGAGAACTGGCGACTGTGTAGTGCAACTTTAGCACGCGGAGTATCTGGCAAGCTGGACGATGATAACTGGCGACTTTGTAGTACAACTTCAGCGCGCGGAGCAATCTGTGCAGCTAGAAGCTGAGGACTGGCGACTTCGTAGTACAACTAGAGTTGTACTGGCGAACAGTGTAGTACGCGGAGGAGTCTTCTCGCTGCTCATTCATCTCTCGCTGCTGAGTCAGCTCTCGCTATAGCCATCTCTCGCGGCTGAGTCATCTCTCGCGACTGAGTCATCTCTCGCTGCTGAGTCATCTCTCGCGCCGTGCACGTTCAGTTCATACTGATAGTATTTGGTTGCAGTTATGCAGGACAGGACATTCAACTGCTGGTCAAGACACCACTCATCATACACCAGTCAGCATACACCACTCATCATACACCACTCGTCATACACCACTCAACATACACCACTCATCATTCATCACTTGTCATACACCCCTCATCATACAAGACTCATCATACATAGTCTCAGAGTACAAGACAGATTTTACATTCAAATTCGGATTCCATTCAGTCCGATGTGTGATATGCAAGGTTTGCCGCCACTGAAGAATGCCACGGTGGGATGTGTGTCGATGTGGACCGCATCCTTGGCAAGTCGTGGTGGCCGGATGTGTGTCATCTCTCGCAGGGGGCACACTGGAATCCCGTGGGTCAAAAGTCCGGAGCGCGTGCGTTTGACTGGAGGACGCGCATGTTGGAGAGAACGTGGACACTCCTATAGGTCAATTTCTTCTTATAGGAAACTTCCGCCGCCGGCTTGCCCGGGAACTACTTGTATATGGGTTACGAACATTACTTTGGCTCAAGTGTGCGGCGAAAAGAGTGTGTGTCTTTTGCCTGCTTTTTTATTGTTTTTCGACTCGGGTCGTTGAGACACTTGACTGACTAGGTGTTTTGAGCACGAGAGCTTTCGATTTTTTCTTCGAGAGTTTGTGTGTCAAACTTTCACGTCCTTGAGTGGTGAGACCGGTTGAGTTTGAAAAGAATCCTCAATGTGAAGACTCGCTGAATCGTCCAAAGCGCGGATTTCTCAATTCGGAAAGAACTGTGGCCTGGAAAGAAGAAGACTTTGCGCACACGGACATTTCCGTGAGTGTGAATCAAAAAGGGCAGTGCCAACTTTCCTGACATCCATGTCATCAGGAAATCAGACCAGAGACGCAGTCGAAGATTCCTTCATCCTGTCGTCTGTTCATAGGTGTGCAAGACAAGGAAAATCATTTGACTCATGTTGGTTTGTTGTCCACAGGCAGCCCAGACCACCGTGTGAAAAATGACGTGATGGCTGCAATCAGCTTCAATATCTTCTTGAAAATTTCAGCAAAGCCTCGTGGTGCATCTTCCGGCCAGCGATTTTGGTGGTGCTCGCCTGCAGATGTCAGGGTTGCATGGAAACAACTCTTTGGTGGAAAAGAGAGAAGATGGCAACAGCGATGGGCATGCGTTGCAGTTTGGACATGAACTTGCCAGCATCGGTTGTGTTTGGCCAGGCAAGACTGTGGCCGGTGTTTCACAACGTAGGTGAAAGGAGGGAAACATTGGAACAGCAGTGCTGCTTGAATCTTTCCAGTTGCGCATTGGCAATCCAGGTGTCAGGGAAGAGTGACCAACCCCTACTTAGATTGAGTCGTGAATTTCCACAATCATTGCATGTAAATTTCTGAACGTGTATACACAATTGTTTCACCAAGGGCTTGTTTAATCATCGAAAAAAATGTGAAGTCTTGGTGAGTATTCATTCTTGGGATGCCTTTGGGCTCTCAGTCATGGAGGACAAAACAATTCCCTTAAGCAGATTGAACTTCTTGCAAAGCTGTGGAGGCCTTCCATGTGATATATATTTTTTGGAGCTGGATATGAGAACCAGGTTGGAATGCAAGAACCCGGCAGCTTAATCGTTGGGTTAAGCCATGTATGCAAGAAACACATGGGCAGTGATTTGGCCAGATAGGCAGGGCTGGAACGTGGTTGTCGTGGTTTTTCCCCATGACTCATGTTTCAAAAAATGCGACCATTGGAACAAAGGTTGATCCTTTGTGGCTATGGGCATATGGGTTTTGAACTTAGCTGCCTGTGCAGTTCTCAAATTGAGGCATCTATTTTTCATGACATGTGGGTAGATTTTAACTCGGTTCATTGAGGCTAGCCGTGCTTGGCGTCGAGCCTTTTCAAGTGACCAACAATGTAAGTGCAGGACCAAGTGTTGCATGCATTTGGTTGTGTGAAAGAACTGAAAATACATTCCGTTCACAGGTTTTGTGCATTGAACCATTGAGCTGGTTTGTTATCATCTCCAAAGATTCGGAGCACTGAGGATTGTCATCGTGGGATTGAACAATGCAGGTAAAACGACAATCTTGTACAATCTGCATCTCGGGCAGGCAGGAAGTTGTGAAGCGTGTGCTGCTATGAGACCCTAGCGAAAGTGATTCAATTTGAACGAAGAGCACAATTTTTGATCGAGTGCCCGAACCACACCGTTGGTCTCCCAAAAGAACAGTTTGGAGGAACTTAGAAAGTGCGGTTCCCCAAGAATCCAGGAACCAAATGAGTGTTTCTTCAAGGAAGCTCCCCCCCGCTTCGAAGACTTTTAGAGGTTGTGATGACGCAACCCACCATTGGTAGCAACGTCTGGGTCTCAGACTTGTCTCATCGTAGAAGTTCAGGCCATGTCGGCCATGTCTTGACCTGTCAGGTCGAAGAGGTCAAACACGAAAACATTACTTTTCAAGTGTGGGACCTTGGAGGGCAGGCTCGGAGGGCTTTTTGTTTGTTTTTTCAACATGGTTTCGGTTTGCAAACGGGAATGTCTCAAAATGGGAGGGCACAACTATGGGTGAAGTGATCTACTTGTCCCAACCCATTTGAGTACACCCCCAAAGTTCGGTGCAAACTTCGTTGTCATGTGGTTTTGGCATTTTGAATTCATTTGAGCAGATATCTAAACAAGTTTTGATCCGCTTCTTAGTGAGCTGAGCAGGAAGTTTTCCGTGCCAACTGGGCCACATACTTCGAGGAGGGACACGCACCTTTGTTGCGGCTGATGGACCTTTGCATCTTTTACAGCAGTTCATTGAGATGTGCAAGATGAGTCAGTTGCACCTGTTGTCTTTGTAGTGAAGCCAGGACACTGATGCCATTATTTTTGTTGTTGACAGCAATGATCAGGAGACGACCTTTCCCTCCTCTTTGGTCAATTTGCCATACATGTAGCCGTGAAGCCGTCAAGCCTCAGGAAAACCTGGTCCTGGCAAAGATGGAGCTGTTCAACGTTGTGCTACATGAGGACCATGAGAACAGTACTTTACAATCTCCACGCATTTTCATTTGTCGCACAATACTGCTTATCTTCGAGCAAGACCGTTCATCATCTCAGGATCTGAAGCATGCTTGCCTCTTGGTCTTTGCCAACAAGCAGGAATAGACCCCATTGCAGTGGTAACGGTAGAATGTTGAGAATCACAGCGGGTGTTGGGCTGGCAGTCTGGATCTTTGGATGTTGTGTTTTTTTTCAGTCTTCCAGGACATTCAGGGCAGTCGCAATGCCGGGGAGGTGTTCAGACTCAGAGTTTGTAGTTGAAGCAACCTTTTGATCTTGATGAATGTGCCAGTAGCCGTGCCCCTGAACTGAAGAAAAGGCAGAGTGAATCTTCATCGAAAGACTTGAGACTTGTCTTGCCATTGCAGATTGCGCAAGACCTTTCTTTGCACAAGATCCTCACCCATGAGTGGCAGGCAGGGGAGGGCTTCATTAGGGGCTCTCCGAGCGCTCCTGTTGAAGACGACATGCCCATGTCCTTGGCTTGAAGCCTCGCCCACGGTCAGATCCAAAGCTGCTGTGCTCTCACGGGTGCCGGTCTCCGTGAGGCTGGCTATCGATAGTTTGCCGAAACATTTAAAACTGAGGTTTACAAAGAAGGAGCCCACCTTTCTCATGCTATGAGTACACAAAATGATTTGATTACATGTTTGCGTTTGCAGGGGTTGAGCTGGATCGCGGGCAGAATAAAAGTGCGGACCTGAGATGTCCTTTGCAAAAGCCCCAAGTTTTTACTGCAAACCTTTAGTGATATGAGTTTTTTACTGAGTATCTGAAACACCAGGGCTCTTCCTAATTATGCCATCCATCCTGAGGCCCGCCGTGCCGGGAATGTTGGGGGAGAGAAGGAAGGCGCCCTTCCTGTGAGCTGAGCCAAGTCGTAGAGCTGTGGCCCACCAAAGAGGTGCGGCCCGGATTTCGGACCCCTGAGCCGAAGGAAATGTTGAGAGGAGCCCAGAGAAGTTCATGTGAAAGGGCACTCATTCATTGCAGGATTGACCATGAGAGCGATTTTTGGGATGTTGATTAGGTTGTTGTTGTACGCCATTGTACGCTGACGGTCTGATGTGCTTTTTGTCTGTGTTTGATTGTGGTTGTATGTATCAATGTATCACGGGTGTTCGGACCTTTTGGCTCAGAGGCAGAGAACCGACGCCAATTAAACCAAGCCAGTCTCATCCAAGCTTGGAAAAACCCTCGGGTAAATGAACTTGATCAGTCAAGCTTGCAAAGCTCAGCACACGAGACCAACTGGTTGTAAGGAAACAGACTCATCTCCCAAAACCAAACAACGGCATAGCAAGAGTGCCAATCCATTGGTTAAGATGCTGGCGGGCGTGCGGCCTGGGTGGTTTTCGCCTCAAATCCTTTTTTTTCTTACCTGGCTTGTGCTGATTGAAATCCGTTCACTTCCATACTGCCTTGGCTCACATGAGTCTGTTTCACCGAGGCCCGATCCCTCAGCAGAGGCTGGGTGAGTGGCAGACTGGACGATTTGCTCACGCATAAATCTCCGAGATTTGAATCTCTAAACAAAGCCGCAAGGCAGTGTTGTCGGATGCATCTTCAAGGCTGGCTGAGAAAGTTATCGCTGAAAGGAGTGAGAGATTCCAGAAACCTTTCGCTGCAAAGGTCGTCCGATTCCAACTACCTCGACCAGGCATGGAAGCAAGTGCGGACCAAGCAATCCTAGCCTTTTCCTCGTGTGGAAAAAGAGGCAACAAAAATGGACTCAGTGGAGTTGTCAACTTCAAGAGCAGATCTCTTCCTATGATGTTCGATATTTGATGGTCTTCTGCCTTTGTTCACAGTAGATTCAGATAGTGGATGGTCTTTTGACTATTGTCTCCATATATTTTCAACGAACCATTTGATAGACAATTCATTTGTTTTCCAATCTCCTTTCGTTGATCTGCCAGGGCCAATCCGCCAAGCGGCCCGTGCGCCCACTACGGCCGCCCCGGCCTGCGCTCTTGCGCTCTTTGGAGGCACCGCACGGGGAGCCGCTAGTAGCGTCCTTGCTCCTAGTAGCGATGCCAGGAGCCCCTAGTAGCTTCTTGTTCCCAGTAGTAAGGCCAGGAGCCCCTAGTAGCGTCCTTGCTCCTAGTAGTTCCCCAAACAGTTTACTGTTAGGGGTTCTCAATGCTTTAAAGAATGGTCCCCTTGGTGCTGGATGGTCTGGTCGGGTTCTCGGCCGGCTTGTCTCCCACTTCCTTTCATTTGTCTCCCAGTTCTTTTCATTTGTCTCCCAGGCTGGGTGCTTGTGGTCG